AATAGTTTCTCCTGGCAGCCCCTCTGTTTACTTGTTTAGAAATCCCAGAGGCGTTTCGAGGTAAAAAGGTCAGAGCTATACCCGGGCCCGTTGCCTCCTCCCTCCCCGCCCGGCCCCAGGACGGCTCTGCCCCGCCGCGCCGGGGGCTCCATCCCCCCGAGAACTGATCGTGTGTTACTTATACTGGGGAAAACACACTTTGAGGGTTTGCCTTGAGAAGCTGAAGGGAGGAAACCAAATTGACACTCATTTTTGGTTTTGAATTGGATCAAATGGCTTTGCCCCCACCCCGGTCTCTAAATTAGTTGCAGTTAATGCTGCAGCTTCAGTAATGCAGATCCGCTTCCCTGCCGGGGTGCTTACACTGAGGATGATGATGATTTTCTGCTCTCCTCAGGCCTCGTTGCACCGTAAAAAAAACTCGACGTGAGGAGCGCAGCGTTCCTGTCCGGTCCCATCTGGGCAACTTGCTTTGAACGCCCCCGAAACGGAGGCGGGCGCCCGGCCCGAACCTCGATCCTGTCGCTGCCGATGCCAAGGGGAGGGGGGGGTCACAGGGTACCACAGGAAGCAGGATCGGGAGTTTTGTTCGGGAGCTTTGGCAGCTACCGGAGTCCTTTTCCTTCCTCCTCCTCCCTCCGAGCCCGGGCTCCCCCCGCCCCGTGTTGCGCATTTCCCTGGACGGGAGAGATTTCCATTTCGCTTAAAGTCGAGAGGACTTGCATGTGGAAAAAGTAAACTTTATTAGACTGAGGTAGTTTAATTTCGAGATACAGAACACGGGGAAGGGAGTGGAGGGGAAATGGGAGATTCCGATTAAGAAACCGATAGTTTTTCTCGATTACGGTTTTCCTTTTAAAACAATCTTTAACAAAAGTTGTCACGGTTTTCAGTTCTTCCTACCCTAAAGTTTCTCGTGGGGAAGGGAAACAACTTAGCCACGGTTAAATAATAGTTTTATCGGACTCTGATAAGCCTAAGAGGGTGGGGGTAGAAAGAACTGTGCTACTTCGCTCCAAGACTTCAGGCTATCGAGAGGTACAATAAATAGCAGCCAGTGCATCAGTGCCTGGGGGAACCAAGCCCCGCGGCCCCCCCGCAGTCTTGTTCCCTTCCACCTTCACACCTCCTACGACAGTGACCATTGCCCAAAGAACCCCGAGGTCAGCCTGCGCCTCATCTCGTTTTCTCTGATAGCACAGCCCTCCCACCCCAGGAGCACTGACAGTCACAGTCGCAGAGCGTGTAGAAAACCCTGTAAAGCAGTAATAGTGCAAAATGGTAGCAGAGGAGTTGTATTTTTTGCTTGGTGTTTGGGTCTTTGCAGAGGGCTCTAGCATCTTGGGTCCCTCAGATCTCATTCCAAGATATACATACAGTAAAAAAAAGGGAAATAAAAAATATCGAAATTTTTTTTTACAATCTCTCGGGGAAGAAAACTACATCAAACATAGGATACGGGCAGGCAAAAGTCGTTGTGCACATTTTTAAAACGGGATAAAACTAAATTCGTTTTAACGTTTTTGTGGTTGAAAGTGCAGTTCCTGTAGTGGAGGGAGAGGGGAGAGGGAGAAACGTCCCTGAGACAAACGTCTATTGCTAAGGATATACGAGGACACGGCTGCTCCTTTGGAGTCCAGTGTTTTACAGAGGGTCTATAAATTAAGAGATAAATGCAAACGGGAGAACTGGTATCACACGCGTGGAGACAGCTGGAACCAAAGGGACTGCTCGGAGGGAAGCGTGGCCTTGCTTCCACGCGTGTGTGCAGACGGAGCTGTGCATGGGAGGTGCGTGTTCCTGCGTGCGTGCCTGCTGGGGTCTGCAGGGAGCAGCTGCCCCTCGAGGGCTGATCTCTGTGCCCCTGCTGGGACGCGTTTCAGGAGGACACGGAGCTGGGGGAGGCCTCAGGTGAGGTGCAGTTGGACTGATCCGAGGCTTCACTTGTTCCCTTCGCAGACCTGGAGGCAGCAGCAGGGGCAAGACCTTCCTTTTCCCTTTTTTTCTGTTTCATTCGCCTGTTCTGGAACCAGATCTTGACCTGGGTTTCGTTGAGCTCCAGGGTAGCGGCGATCTCCACCCTCCGGGCCCGGGTGAGGTATTTGTTGAAGTGAAACTCCTTCTCCAGCTCCGTCAGCTGCTTGGTGGTGAAGTTGGTGCGGATGGTGTTGGGCTGGCCCAGCAGTCCGTACTCCGACACTTTAGCTGTTAACGAACAAACACCAACAGGGCAGGAGCAGCCACAGCACCACCCTCGCTGGAGCCGTGGGGCTGCGGGTGAGGGCTTTCCCCCCCTCCCCTCCTCTCCCGGGCATTTGGTCCCTCCACAACCCGGAGCTTTGTGCCCCCTCCCTCGGGTTTGCGGTTATCCCTGGCTCCCCAGCCCAGGGGGACAACCTGGAGGGACAGACCACCCCGGGCTCGGGAGAGCTGCCCCCCTTCCTTTGCAACCATTCACCCCAGTTCCCTAAAAACTGCCATGAAACTTGAACGTGCGTGGGAGGGTGATGGGGAGGAGATGATGGGGGAGAGGAGGAGGGAAGATAGTGGTTTAAGGAAGATTGTGGAGAAGGAAGCTGAACAATAGGGGAGATGGAAGCCACGACTGTGGAAGAAGCAGGAAGCCCGGAGCATTTCCTTTTCCGAGTTGGGCTTAAATCGCATTGGGCCTGCGGGAAACTGAGCTCAGGGACCCTCCATCAGATGTGTCTGGAAAATCTCTAGCTGGATTTTCCTCAGTGCTGAGCTGGTGTTAAAAAAAAAAAAAAAAAAAATCCGTGTTCCCCTGGAAGATGAGCCAATTACCTTGGGTACAAAGCCCGGGGAAGGCAACCTTTCCTTGCAGGGCTGGGGAGATGCCCCCCACCTCCCTCCTCCCCTGGCTGGGGACCATCCTTACCCAGCTCTGCGTTCCCCAAACTCACCTGTCTTGGGGGGGTTCCTCTTCACTTTCATCCAGTCGAAGGTCTGCGTGGCGCCGGGGCACGGCTCGGAGGGGCACGTAGGTTCTTTGTCCTCGTTTAATGAAGGCGAAAGATTGCTATAAACACCGGGCAAGTAGCTGGGTTGCTCCTGCCCGTAAAGGTGTTGTTGCTGGTACTG